AATACCAAACTGCAGAAAGCACAGTATGAGTACAGTGCTGAAACACACATTACGCAGAAACATCTGGATAGAGAGGCAAAACATAGAGTATGCCTGTCCGCTGAGCAACATCCCAAAGTGTTACATTCCAAACGACATCAGCAATTTCAATGTGCTGTCAAAGCTTTACAGTATGAGAATAGGCATTGTATTCTATCAGGGTTTTCAGTTACTGTTCATGATGCCTCTCAGCTTTTTCTGATACTACCAACCCTATGAAAGAGGGCTCCCAGTGCAATACCCCTTTGAACTCTGAAAGAGTTCCTTTTCCAAAAGTACTCAAGTCTCATCTACTCAGACAAACACCAGAAGAAGACTTACAGTCATTCATGCAGGAAGTCAGTTAATAAACTACAGGCAAAATCTGGAATTATTTTATTATAATTATAATTAATAATGTATCATGGTGATTATGGTTTGGCTGAGAACAAACAGGCCATCCTGAACTAGTCTGAGATAACTGCCAAATCTTCTGCACATGTGACAGATGGTGGAAGCTTTTTAAAGACTCCCTGTGCAGAACAACTCTGCGTAACAGGGACCCAGATTCAATGCAACAGCAAAGTAGCTGAAGCGGGTCATGACAAAAGCCCACTAAGCAGCATAAGCTACCTTTAAAGCTTTGGGTCTCACCCAAAGAAAAGGTGAAAGAGAAAAAAGAACAAGGCATTCAAGGGATATGAGGGGAAAGTGGTTGCACAACTTATGTTGACTGCTGACTGATGAAAGTGAAGGAAACTGTGGCTTTTGATACAGTGCTCTAAATTCAGCAGGTATAGGAGGTGGAAGCACAATGGCTGAACTCAGTGGAGCTATATCCCCTTCTAAAAGGGCTTGTTTAAACTTCCCTAACAGTTTTTATGGACAACACAGGGTGGTTTGGAAACACTGCAACTTACTTTTCAATAAACCTTATTCTTCCCAAGAACATAATTCATTTTGTGTGCTTACGTCTAATCTCTTTTGGCTCATTTTACTTTGAAAAGGGTTTTGAACTCCAAGAATGTTCCTTAAATACTCCCTCTAAGAGTCCCAGAAGGCGAATGCTAGAGTGTGGAGGACGAAGACAGAACAATAAATGAAAAGCAATACCATATCACCGAGAACTCTCTCAGCCATATCCCAAGTTACACCCACTGCAGAGAATCCATCTTCCTCTCTGATTAATTTCTTATGGTATCTGAAGCAAGGTAAGTTGTAAGGAATAGGCATTTATAGACCGAAAAAAAAAGAGTCCAAATTAGAAAAAAAAAAATCAAAAGAAGAATGATGCAACTGTTGACATTTGATGCTGCCAGTGTCCCCTCAGCCTTTCATTGAACCATT